GACGTTTTATATATTTATATATAATTTATAAATAATATAAAATTTAATCCAGATGTTCCAGAATTATCATGGACAAATATACCTCAAACATATTTAGATGGTTTAACAGTAGAAAATATTGAATTAAAAAGTAAAATATTCTTTGGTTTAACAATCCAAAAGGCACATTTAAACGGTGTACAACGTTCTATATTATATGATGCGATATGTAATGAAATTGGAACAGGATGCGATAAAATACAAATTATATGTCATACAACTATTATAGATTTTGCAACGTTGTATCTTGAAGAAATAATAATGTTGGTTAAAGAAAGATTGTTATCAAATATAGGTAAGTTAAATATACAGATACAATTGATGTAAAGTTACTATCTACGCATAAAAGTGATATTAATAAAATGTTTTAGATGAAATGGAAGTAGAATTATTGAAACGTAGAATAAAAGCTTTATCAGCAATTGCAAAGATACATGAATTAGGTTGTATAATACTCCCGAAAATTGTTACAATATTAATGGACACTGTTAATACTGATATATGTATTACAATATTACTAAATATCCAGAAATTAATTGCTTTAAAGAAATCTGATTACAACATACATCAATTTCTATATAAGGAATGTCATATTATTGATAAACTAATTTTATATGAGACAAATATTGTCGATCATAAGATGTTAATATCAAATATCTGCCAATTAATTGTACGAAATCTTACAATCGAGGAACAACGTGCAATTGTAATGAAATATGCTGTGGCTTTAGATACAAAGGTTCCTGAAACTGATGTAACTGTAATAATGAATCTTTTCATTCCTTTACGAAAAGATATTGATTTGAACCTAAATAATGATATGGTGGAAAATCTGTATAATCTTGCAACTAGTAATTGCAATCTGGATATAAGGCAAACAAGCTGTAAATTTTTATCTGTATTATTAAATAAAATAAAAGTGTCAGATCTCGATAGAATTGTATCTTATCTAGAAAACAAAATAAATAATAATTTAAGTGCAGACAATGATATTAAATTAAAACAACATACAGTTAACTTTCAAATTTGGATGACTAAAGCACTTGTTATGAGAGGATACGCAAAGTCTCAATACTTTCTAGAGAATGTACGTACATGGTTTAATTGTAATAATTTAATACTCAGTTATAATATAAATAATATAGATACAATAATATTTTCTGTGTTTGTTTTTACAGCTTACACTCTTATTAACTCATGATGAAATAGGTCAATTTGTAGGTGAACAATATCAAATTTTAGTAAATAAATATGAAGATATTTTAATAACGGAAAATTTCTGCGATGTGAAAATTTTTTATAAACAAAGAGTGTTCGAATATTTGTTACGACAAAATATTAATTTTACAAGCACAATGAGACAGAATTATCTTATTGCTTTGGTACATTTACTAGAACAAATGCCTGAAGAATTATTATTTTTACATTTAACTGAGGTAAGTTTTTATGATGCATTAATGATAAAATATATTATATCTTGCAATAAGAATATTTTGATTAATTTATTATGTTGTTAGTTAGTACCGCTGTTGATTGAGTCTCTATCTCTTAGCAATGAATATTTAGTACTTTGGACATTGATGTCATTTAAACTATTACTTGATACTAAACACGATGTATTTTCTGATAATGTACAATGTGTTATACCAAGACTTATGCAATTATCAACGCATCGAATCATGGTAATTATTTACATTAATTTTAACTTTTCCAACTTTCATTGTATCATTATATAAATCAATATTTATATTGATAGGGTGTTAGAATTGCGGTTTTAGAATGCCTAGCGCATTATGCTAATTATCCCACTATTCTAATCAATCCATACAAACAAATTGTATTAGACAAATTGGGGGTAATAATCGACGATCGTAAACGTTTGGTAAGAAAGGCTGCAGTAAATACGAGAATACGATGGTACTTAGTGGGTGCATCTGGAGAACAGTCAAAGGAATGAACGATATTGCAATTTGGTTTTGTATATATACGTATATTTTAGCGCCGAGGCACTACCGTGTCTCCGATATATATATTATAGATATTAATGCGATTTTATAAATATCTTTACTTTATATACATTCTGAAAAATGTAAATTTCTTATTATTAAATATTAACATGTTAAATATCTCTTGTATGGGATTGTTTTTATTTACATATCTAATCCGTAACGTACTTTTCCGAGCGTCTTCTAGGGTCTCTTTATGCTTGTTTATCCTAGATATCTTTCTTAATTGAATAAAGAATTGATTTTTGTAAGTGGATTAAAATCACAGCTAACTTAAATGCGTTCAGTACAGTGCAGACATGGGCGATGGTAAGAATATGTGATTGTAACATCTACTTCATTTGTTTTAATATATGATTAGAATTCTCTTTTATTTATTTAATTGAAATATCATTAATTATACATAAAACGTTGAGAAGAAAAGGCATTTTTTTTTATTGAATAGAACAGAATATTTGATTTTCTTATTTTAAATACCTGTGTACACGTGCGTCTACAGGTGTGGCAAAGAATGGTGCATACAAATACGATGACGGTACAAAATACATTGGCGATTGGAATCGTAGGGGTCTAAAACACGGTGCTGGTCTATTAGTTCTTGTGGATGGAACGCGGTACGATGGAGCATTTCAAAATGGATTATGCTCCGGCTTGGGAGTGATTGTATTTCCCGATGGAGCAAAGTAAGTTTTATGCAGCAAGTTTATTTTAAAATTACGCGTTTCACTCAAAATGTCGTTCCATATATATTTGTGCAAGACTGTTCTCTTTTTCTTAGATATGAAGGAGAATTTATGCAAGGATGGTTTCACGGCCATGGTGTGTTCTGGCGAGCCGATGGAATGAAATTTGAAGGGGAATTTCGTGGAGGTCGTGTCTGGGGCTTAGGTGCATAATTAAATTGATAATTTATTATTAATTACTTTATAGTTTTGCAAATAAAGTGCTGCAACTATTCTGACTATCGGATTAGATATAAACATAATTTTTATTGTAAATTGTTGTTATATATTTTTTATTCGTACTACAGGCTTAGTGACTTATGCTGACGGATCGCATGGATTTCCGAGGAATGAAGGTTTTTTTCAAGATTGCAGATTAGTAAGGCGACGACGTTGTCCTGATATAGTACAGAAGGCGCAAAAAATTTCTATGATGGCACGTGCTCAATGTTATTAGCGGAAATAGAATAAATTGTAGATGTATAACTAATAAAAAAGAGTATATAATTTATCAGATCATATTTTTCTACAATCATTGGTATTATTTTCATAATAATAAAAGCTGTATTTATAATATTTGGATAAATTTTATTAATATTTTTTTATTTTATTATTATTATTGCATATTTAAAACTTCTCCATATTATTTACTAACAAGTAAAATTTCTCAATGTTCAAAATATATCAAGAATTCATACAGAATTGGAACAAAGAATGCAGATTTATCTTTATTTACGTAAAATTAAGATACCGATAATGTCATTGATACCAGTTTCCTGAATATAGAATGAAATGTAATTGTAACGAGTTACGCCCTAAAAGAAAAAGTTTGAGAGGGAGCACAAGGCTAGACTACTTTCCGCTCAGAGGCGTGGCCAAGCCGGATGTTCCAGTTTTGAAGACGAAGGTCACCAATCGATATAAAATTCGCACATATAATGTTTTAATATAACAATATATAAAAATTGAAATTTTATATTTGTAAATATTAAACTGAAAGCAAAACAAGAAAGGCTACACAAGTCCATATTGCTTTGCTTTATTTCTGTTGCTTATATTTTATTTATGAAAATATAAAAGATTTTGATATGTATATATAATTTTTTAAATATATAAATATGTACATATATATATATGTATATATATACAAAATTCGCAATGCATATTTTATACATATTTTTCAAAATGATAAAATTATGAAAAAATATAGATTATTTTAAATCATATTTAAAAATAAACAAATTTAGTGACGGTTTATTATCTGGATCATAAGTTACATTAATAAATAGTAGTATTTTTTAATCTGGGTTCTATTAAATGCATGGAAATATATTATAAAATAAATGACAAAAATCTCAATTCTAATAAATATGAATCTATTAATATAAATACATAATGTATTTAAGATTATTTATGTATAGCGTTACATTGCGATGTATGAACTAGTTGTCTAGTAAATAAACAAAACATTTATTTTTTTTTTTACTTTGTAACTAATCAGTGAATCGCAATGAAGTTGCATAAATTATTTTGAATATTTAAAGAACTTATAAAAAAAATTTAGATTTTTATCATTTTTTAAATTTTAATTTTTACAATAAAGAATTAATAACAAATACAACAAATAAAATTAATAATCGATAAAAATGTGTTATTAAATAAAAATGTAATCTTATTCACACAACATATTTCATATTTATACAGCTTATTTGAAGGTATAAGTATTAAATACATTTCCAAATTTAATTTTCTTTGCAGGGACTGTGATACATCCTTAAGTCTTATAAAAAATAAGAAAATTCAAAATTTTACTCCTTTTTCACTTAGGACGAATTTCTGATTGAACGAATTTGATTACTGCGCATCCTTGAAAATTGTTTAGGTCTTTTACTTTGTTTTTTCTTATATTACACTATGTGTGTGTACAGTGAATGTCTTTGGAGAAGTTCAATGCATTATGAAAAATAATGAGATTTTACAAATTTATAAAATTTAAATATTGTTAGGGATAGAGATAGATAACTAATATTATTTCGCATGTTATAGACAAGAAAAAACATACCCACACGTTTTAGGTACTTATAAATCATCGTAAGGGCATAATGAATCAACAGGGAGTAAGACGTTCGGAGAATGGCGCAATATTAAGAATATCCTTGACCCTATATCCCACCATGGCGAACTGAGGGTACTGAAAGATTTTCGTGTGGCTCGTCGTTTGTCCGCCAAGTATAAAAGTACCGATTGTCATGGATTGTAGCATTCGTATTTCGGTTCAGACACGATTAAGGTCATCGCAGGATCTTCCTCATATAACATAATGGCAGCTAAGGTATGTACGATCAATTGCAATGGATAAGAGTTTATCTAGTATAGGAAACATATTTGTAAGAATAAATCTGTGCTTCTAAAGTTTCAAGTCATTATTGATAATTCTATTTATTTTAGTTATTCGTAATCATCTGCGTTTTGGCTGTGGCTAACGCCGGCTATATCGGACTGCCTTCCGCCCTGCAGTATCATATCGAGCCGATAGCGCACGTTCAACCCGCCATTACGTCGACATCCGATAATATATTACGTAGCCATGGTAATCTGGCGCAAGTGGCCACGCAAACGAAAACCATCGACACACCTTTCTCTAGCTCGAGCAAGGCCGATATCCGTGTAACTAATCCTGCTGTCACTACCTATGCTCATCTTGCTCATCCAGCCCCGTTGACTTATGCTGCAGCCGCTATACCAACGGCTGTGCGTCCGGCTGCTCTTGGAGTCGCCTACTCGCCGGCCGTAGAGGTATCTCATATGAGCTACAGCAGCCCGATCGGAATTGCTTATGCTTACTAAATCGATCACATCCATGTCACGCGACTTTATATATGATATAATATACATATATTTATTCGAAAATCCTCGATTCTTGTAACTATATACTTCTGTACGTGACGAATTAATGGCACTACAATGTAAGTAGTTACGCAATAAAAATCTATAATCTATAATCGAAGCTTCATTTTTCAACCCATAAATCTAGTCTTTAAATCGTTTCTTAAGAGATTGAATTATAATTGCGAATTATAAGGAGATAAGACGCGGCGGAAGCTACTATTTACACGTGTCACGCATATCATTTTATTTTAGAAAGAGTTTAATTTGTAAGAAGGAAGACGCTTGGGAATAAAACATGCTTTCTGAAAGAACAACATTCAAGCTTTTTATGTGAGATTTTATTATTATTTCATGTTTTTTTTTTTGTCGCGGCGCTTATCAACAATTTATCAACAATTCCACGTGGGACGGAGGACAAATGTTCTAATAGAAAAAGGAAAGAATTTTGTGAATTAAGAAGAAGGAAAGAATTTTGTGATATTGACTTCAGGGAGAATTGCGAAATGCATCAACAAATTTGTATGTATCTGATATTAAAGACAAGGTACATTCTGCGATGTGTAGTTGGTGGGATAGTGGCGGATTTTTTATCAATGTAAAAAAGATTTAGCCTAGCCCTTAAGTCCTAATCCAAGGGGAGCGGCACCCCAGCCGGTGCCCCATTTAGCACCACCCCATCCAGCATCACCCCAGCCGTTACCAGCCCATTTAGCACCACCCCATCCGGCACCACCCCATCCGGCACCACCCCATCCAGCACCACCCCATCCAGCGGCAGGAGCAGCCCACGCAGCTGAAACAAATTTATAACGAATGTTAGATTAGGCCTGTTCTTTTTGGCTGAACCTTTGCACCAGTTCATCTTTTTTTCTTTTTCTCTCTGGAGAGGAGGAGGAGGAGGAGGAGGTAAGAAGAGGAAGAAAGATGAACTAGTGCAAAAGTTCAGCCAAAAAGAACAAAGTTATTATTAAAAGAAAAAAGACGAAAAAAAAAAATGGAGAAAAATAATTCACATCCTCTAACGATAATTTATCCGTAATAATGGTAATTTATCCGTAATAATAGTAGCCTTAAGACTACCATTCGTGTATGTGACACACGATTTGATTTTGATGGTTCCAAAATCGTTAATGTACAGGATGTTTAACTTTCTTAGTCTTACGTATCATGTGAAATAAGAATTATCCATACTTTTAACGGGAGCAATAGCAATTGCAGGTGCGAGAGCCACGCCGGCATAGCAGACGTTTACGATAGCCACGAGGCCGAACACCACCAAGAGCTGCAAGATTTAATAACGCTTATTTATCTTAATTAATTAAAACTTCCGGAATATTATATTTTATTAAAATATTAACTAGTCATTTAAATTCGTCTTTTCAGATTACATTATCGTGTCCAATCTCTATCAAAATAAAAATATTAGTTTTATATATATGTTAATAATCGGCGTTCTGTGTTTTATGAAATTAAAACGTTAATAATCATATATATATATGAGTTATACACTTTTCTTATAATTAATACAAACTTATAATTTTAGAAAAGTGTAATAATCTGTAATCTTAATTTAAAATTTCATTATATATATTTTTATCAATTTCTATAAATTAATAAATATGAAAAAATTACGCAAAAATAATAATTAAAACTGTTTCTGTTTTAAAGGCACTTACTTTGAACATGATGATTGTTTTTCTATTTTCCCGTTGAAACACGAGGAACGATTGAATGCTCTGTTTAAATCTAACAGTCTATTTATACGTGCTGAAGAAAACCTGTCCAGTGTGCATGGTGCATTTTTTCCAAAAACTTCTTGTTGTAAATGTACGAATGCCACTGTTCATAATAAGGCGTTATTGCATCATATAGTTATAAAATATTATATCTTGTTAAGCTATGAATATATTTTACGCCTTCAATGATTACGCGGATTAAGGTTTTAATATTGTTTTCTTGCTACAAAATCGTATGCAATTATGACATTCGGAGCGCAAAATCGTGTGAATTTTTGTCCTGCATGTATAATATACGTGAAAATCAATACCTTTTTTTTATATGCCAACATTTGCATTTCATAGTACAGATTACTAAAAAGTGAGAACGTAAAAAATTATAATGGAATTGCAATTAGATTATGTATTTTTAAATATTGTTTTTGAATTCTTGAGAGTGTCCATATAATCGATTCATTCATTTATTATCCAAGTTTTACGTCCGCTATTTTACACGTCTCATTACTTTAAACATACAATTCTTTCTACACTTTTCAAACAATGCTTTGCATTCATTTTTATAATCAGCAAATAACTCTCTCTCTCTCTCTCTCTCTCTCTCTCTCTCTCTCTCTCTCTCTCT